CAAAACTTGTTCGAACTCATATAGGAGTAATTAATGAATGTTTATGGAGCAAGTTTCTATTATTTATTTATAGAATTTTGATAAAAACTCTATTAATGTTTGTTTAATTGAACTCAAATTTGGGTGGAAGTATTTAAGGTGTATTCCTTAACTGATTTGATCTCTTTAACCCCATTTGAGGTTAATTTAATCAAAGGTCAAATTTACAAAAAATTGGGTCATGATTTAATCTTTTTTTTTTTTTGGAAATTCATTAAAAATAAATTTCAAATCCATTTCATATTTTCAAGTGCCTTATGGAATCAATGAATGGTGGTATGTAACAGACTCGCTTGGTTTCATGCAAAAAGGTTCTTACTTATGTAAAAGTAAATTCATTCATGATTATTTTACTTTGTTTGTGCTTTGTTAAGTAAAGCAAAGTTTGTCCCAAATCTCCTTAGCATTTGTGCAAGTAGAGATGAGCATGTAATTTTCATATTTATGTACACAAAATAAATACTTCAAACCCTTAGAATTAAGTTGTGCAATTTGTCAGTCTTCTAAAGATAATTTAGTAAAGGGTAGTTTTACTTTTAATTCATTCAAAATATGAAATGGTTAATAATATCTTGATTGTAACATGTGCAACTTGCAAAAATTTATTGATAATAAAAATATTGACATATGGATTTTCAATAAATCAAATGATATATTATGAAATACTAGTGGTCGAGTTATTAAAAACCCTTCTAAAGTGTTATGGTTACAAAAATGTGCCATTATATCTACTTCACATATTAAAATAAAAAAGTAGTGAGAACCCCGCTTTAATACCTATGAAAGTGTGTCACACTATTGGGGGGGGGGGGGGGGGGGAATTGGTTCTTTAAAAAATTTTGAAATCTTAAAAAATATTTTTCTTAAAAACAAATTTAATATGTGGAAGTATTAAGGAAATAAAATATTTCTATAATAGAGACTAAAATAATATAGAAATATTTTTGTTCAATTTTGATTTGGCAGAAAACAATTTTATAAAAGAATAAATTTGTTAAAGGAAAATAATATATTTTTATTTGTTTTCTTTACTCATTTTCAAAACAATACGTAATTAGTGAATACTCACCAAAGTGTTTCTTTCTAGAAGATATCCAAATCATCACTCTACAATGCAATGAAAGTAAATTTCAAGAATGTAAATGTTAAAAAGTAAATTCAAAAGTAAGATAATATAAACTAAATTTTTTAGTTGTTTAGTAAAATTTATTTTCATCCACCCCCAATGATCCTCCTCTTTGGATATTACATAATTTGTGTTTCTCCTTCAGCACTCTATTAGGGAGCATAGCCTCCATAGACAGATAATGTTTTCATCCCTATATTCACCTGCAAACCTGGAAAAGATGTCAATGCCTTGCCTCACACCTCTACTAAATAAAGATGCCAAAAATCCTTTCACCCTCAAGCCAAGTAGAGATGTTGAAACTTTATTGTTGCTAAAACTCCATTTTTTTCCACCCTTGGTAAAGATGCCACGCCAAGGCTCATAGATCTCTCCTCCAAGAGCTCCACAAAAAATAAAAAGAGTCAGAAGGTATAAGCCAGAGAAACCATGTGAACCCCCTCACGCTACCTTGACACACTCAAGTCTCTGATCCCACTCTTAGCCTCACCTGGTATCTCCGTATTAAATTTTATTAAAATTCCCTAATCAAATATGTGTGTGCTCTCCTAAAAAGAATGAAGCACCACATATAGGGATTATTGGGTTATTTAAGGTGTATTAAAAACTTTATAAATTAATGCTAAATTACCTTTAAGCAAGCATTAAGCAAAAAAGGTCTTATTATTTAATTAGTATTAATTATCAAATTTATTTAATTAAAAATAAATTATAACAAAACAAATTAAAAGAATTTATTTAATAAATTTTAATTTACAATTAATTATATATTAATCAAATTTTAATGAAAAAGAGATCTTGATTTTTTTCTCTAATTGTAGAGGTTAATTAGAGTTGATTGAAGGTACTTTTGTATTTTTATGAATTTTTCTTTATTTATTGTGATTTTTGAAAGAATGAACCCTTAATTAAGGGTTGATTTTCATTTAATTTTATTTTAGGGTCAATTATTGTAAAATCATGGTATAATTAATTTCTATATGGTATATTTTTACTCAATTCAAGGGTTTGAAGTTTTATCCTTATTCGATGTGTGCATGAATTCCTAGAATTTTTTTTAAGTTAACTAGACCTTGTCCTTAATGTCCCTGGGTGTCACAAAAGTTTAAGTGGTTTTGCAAATCAATGTATCTAACCCCTGCTTATGCACACAATCATTCAATAGAATACTTGTGTCTTAATTATAAGAAAATTAAAATGAATGAATTTACAAATATTAAGGCTAAGTAATAATCCAATTATTTTGAAATTAAACTAAGGGACAATCATGTATTTAATTGTCTTCCAATATACTATAATAGATTAGCAAAATACCATAGTATTTCCAATTAAATTTTTACTTAAATGAATAAACATACAAGGAGTAATTGGATAAAAAATGAAAAATAATAAAAGTGCAATTATTCTTCATATAAAAATCAAATTTGACTAGTTGCAATTTTTTCCTAATTAAGCTCAATTCTTTTTTTTTTTTTTTTGATGAAATGCAAATTGCATTAAAAATATAAAAGAAACAACCTAAAAGATATATACTAAAAAAACCTTAAAGAATCACATTCCTCCTTCAAACATAACAAGAATGAAGGAGGAATATCTTCAAAGCTAATATCCTCCCAAACAAAAGAACTTTTTAAGGCCAAATTAGCACAAACATCCACTAATTTGTTACATTCTCTTTTAGCAAAAGAAAACAATACTTGGTTGAAATTAAGAAGAAAAGTGAAATTATCATCAATATACTTACTAACTTTCCAAGTCTTCATAGCCGATTGTAGAAGTTTTATAATATTAGAATTATCCCCTTCAATGATGATTCCTTGAGCTTCAAACATCCACTCCGGGGTAATGTTCTTCAAATAGAGAATAGCCATCAATTCAATTTTAGCAATATCCCATTGCAAAATATTTGCTCCAAAAGCTATAAGGAATCTTCCTTTATCATCTCTTGCCACACCTCCAAATCCAGCTACTTTATTTCTTGAAATAGAAGCATCTACATTTATTTTAATCCACCCGGTTGGAGGAGGATACCAAGAGAAAGACATCTTTCGCTGATAAGTATCCCAGTTGTCCGGAGCAGAATAAATAAAGTTGCTTACGGTTGCTGTAGAAACAGCATTTGCTGCTAAATAATTGAGCTAATCTTCAAAGCCATCATGAATCAATTTACATCTACTCTTCCACACCAGCCAAGTAGTAGTGCAATACAAGTTTGCAATGAAAGAAGTCATAACAACAAGCTTCTTTAATCCTTCCAAACATTCCTTAAGATAGACAAAAGCAGGAAGTTTGAATCCCCATATATTGAGTATAGCAATCACATCTCGAAACTTGCTACAATTCACTGCAATATGACATCCATTCTCTTTTTGTTCACAGCCTCTTGGGCAACCTGAGAAAGTACTCAATTTCCTTCTAAATTGAGAAAGTACTCAAATAGAAAATCATTAGAAGGAATGGCATCATTGCAAAGCCTCCACCAAAATAACTCAACTTTCGGTCTTAGCTTTAATTTTTTCATCCAGTTCCAATTGGCATCTCCTCCGTTTTGATCTATCAAAGCTTGAAAAGCCAAAGCAGCAATTGATTTTCCTGAAAATTTAGATTTAAGCTCCATAAGATCAAACCTTCTATCGGCATCAATGGGAATAAGAGAAATGAGTTCTACCAGTTGCTCCCCAAATATCAACTGAAGTTGATCAGTATTCCACTTTCCTTCCAAAATAAAAGAGTTGAGTTTAATCTCCATTGGTTCCAAATAGTTAATAAAGGTCGGCCACTTTGCTAAACATTTGTCTAGAATCCAATTATCAAACATCCAATTAATAGAATTACCATTCGAAACATTCCATCTAACGATGTTTCTAAGATAATAAGCTCCCATTGTGATGATTTTCCATGTCGGAGAGCAGTCTCTTTTCATTGGAGTTGTCCAAACATCTTCTCCATATTTAGCTCTAAGGATTGGGTTCAATAAGGATGCTAGCTTCATACAGAAATTCCATGCCAATTTGGCCCGTAGAGGAGCAACTCTTGACACAGCTAAAAATAAACCTCTACCGCCTTCTTCTTTAGTCTTGCAAAGACAATCCCAAGAAGCAAAATGAAGACGTGCATTCCCATCTTTCTTTTTCCACAAAAAGATTCTACACATTTTATGAAAGTCTTTAAGAATACTCAAAGGAACAAGTGAATTTGAAGTTAAGAACATTGGTAGTGATAAGAATGCCGATTTGATGAGAACTACCTTTCCTTCCAAAGAGATGAACTTTTCGCCCCAAATGTTCAATCTGTTAGCTACCACTTCCATCAACTTAGAGAAATCCGAAGATACCACTCTCCTCAAGATCATCTTCACACCAAGGTAATTGAACTCCTTAACCACTTTGAATTTATGAAGATTAGAAATCTTCTTCTTAATTCTATGGTTAGTATATTTCCCAAAAAAGAATCATGGATTTAGAAATGTTAACCTTTTGGCCCGACCATAAATAATATTTATTTATGATAGTCTTTAATTCCTTAATGACTTTAATCTTGCCTTCCGAGAAGATTAAAATATCGTCTGCATAAAGAAAATGGGACACTCTAGGAGCCTTGGGAGAAATCGAGATCCCCACATCCCCTTTCCCACCATTTAATGCATCTGATAGGATTTGGGAGCATAAAATAAACAAATAAGGGGATAAAGGGCATCCTTGCCTAAACCCACATTTCCCTTTAATCCAATCATTTTTCCTTCCATTGATCAAGATGCAATCTTTAGGATCTAGGATGCATTGTAAAATAAGTTCCTTAAACTTGTTAGGAAAGTTAAAGTGAGATAGCACTTGCCTCAAAGCTTGCCAACCCATACTATCATAAGCTTGTTCCATGTCAAGCTTGATTGCCAAAAGTCCTTTCCTTTCTTTAGAATACCAGAATTTATTGAAGACCTCTTATGCCAATAGAACATGATCAGACAAGGAACGCCCTTTGATAAAAGCAGCTTGGTCCACCGAAATGATTTTGTGGATAACCTTCTCCAATCTACATAAAAGCATTTTTTGCAATAATTTTATAAATAGTAATGCATAAGCTAATAGGATGATAATTGGTTACCTCTTGAGGATTTTGAATCTTCTGAATCAATACAATAAGAGTTTCTTTCCACGACATGTGCATATCTCCAGAAGATAAGATTTAACTCACTGCTAGCCAAACATCACCAGCTATCCATTTCCAGAAATTATTCAAAAAGGAAAATGTTATTCCGTCCAAACCTGGAGCAATATTACTACCAGATTTCTCAATAATAACCTGAATCTTCTCCCTTGTGAACTCTTCTTCCAGAACAGCTCGATCAGCTTCATTAAAGATTGCCGAAGGCTTAGGCCAGCCACCCAGCATACATTGTCTGTGCTGCCATTTATGTTTGAAAAATTCAGAAAAGACATTCTAAATTTCATTGACATCCTCCATAATATTTCCATTAGTAGTCTTAATATGACTAATCCAGTTGATATTTTTCCTTGCATTATCAAATGCATGAAAAAAACCAGAATTGCAATCACCTTCTTCCATCCATCTTGCTTTAGCTCTTTGCTTCAACCAGGTATTAAGCCGTGCAAGAGTTACATTGAGCTCATTAATTTTGAATCTTAAAATCTGCATCTTTTCAAAAGAGATCTCTACTTCAGCCTCTTCTATTTGAATAACCTGTATTTCCTCCTTAAGCCTGTCCCGAAGAGCCATTAGGTCCTTGAACTTAGCATTGCTCCAGAAGAAGAGAGTTCTCAAGGTTCTTTTAAATTTAACATTAAGAGAAAAAGACGGATCAATCCCAACATATTTTCTCCAAGAATTCTGCACAATCGCCTCTGCTCCATGGTAAGTAGCCCAAACTTCTTCATACCGGATCTCTTTGATGTTAGCCATCTCAGGTTTGAAAATTTCCAATAATACAGGACAATGGTCCGATGCAATACAGGATAAATGCTTCACCATTGCAAGATGGATAGAATTCAAAGCAGTGGAATTGATAAGGCATCTATCCAACTTCTCTAGAATACGAGCTCCACCGGATTTGTTATTGCACCAAGTAAATTTAGGACCCATTGACTTCACCTCTTGAAGATCGTTGTTGATCATAAAATTCTTCAGATCTTTAGCTCCTTGAGACAAGATAAATTTTTTTCCCAACTCTCTTTTCATCTTGACATAGAACACAGTCGAAGTCCCCTCCTATCACTGTTGGCATATCCTCCAAGCAATGTTTCTCTAAGCTTTCCCAAAGGACTTTCCTGTCACTGGTTTTATTTCTCCCATACACAGTTGGTACCTTCCAAATTCCTTTGTTAAAAACCTGAAGTTTCCCCACTATCATTTGAGAAGATACTTCATCCACAGTGAAAGATGCCAAATCTTTACTCCATAGAACCGTCAAGCCTCCAGATAATCCTTCAGAGGGGACCAAAAAAGAGACCCAATTATTACCCAGGAATCTGAGAATCTGTGAATTCTCCAAAGAATTTAGTTTAGTTTCCATCAAACCTACAAAAAACACCTTATGATCTTTAATCACCTCCTTCAAATATAGAGCAGCCTCCACCTTATTGGCTCCTCTACAATTCCAGAAAACCAGTGAATTCATTACTTAAAGATGGGAGAAGGTCCCCCATTCGTTTTAGCTTTACTTCCATCATTTTTCCTGTCTCGTTCCAATATATTTCCTGAACAAAGAGATTTAAGTTCTTTAAATAGCTTGATCTTCTTCCCAGATGATACATTACCCGTCACAGCCTTCTCACAGTTTGAAACATCTTTATCCTTCATGTGAATAAGCTTAGCTTTTTTTAGACACAATGCTTCCAAATTTGCCACATTATGAGTGTTGTTTCCCACAATTTCACCTTCTTCAGCAAAGTCACATTCTTGACCCTCCATATCTTTATTCAGCTTTGATTCTTCCAGAGCTGCTAGAACATCAAACTTATTGAGAATTTTCAGAGCAGAATCGTTCATTGTTACCTCAACATGTTGTTCTTCAGGAATTCCAGCATAAAGATCTGATCCAACATTTACTTTTGAAGCTTTTTTTGGCACCTCAACAATTTCTGGAGCAGAATGTTCATCTCTCACACAAACATCTTCAGGTACAACAGTTTTCTTTGAAATAGCTGGACCAATTTTCAAAACATATATCTTTTTCATAGGAGTAGAGATCTTATTAAAGAAATTTGTCTTGTCTGCCAATCTCGTATCTCTTCTATTTCCATGCCTCACTTGGATCCAAGAATCATTTTCCACATTCTTGGCTTCTGCAATCGATCTAGCATCTGCCTTTTGATTCCTTGCTTCATTTAGATTAGTTGCATTAGACAACTCATTCACTACAACATTGTCTTTACTAACTTCATTGCAACCAGTAACAACATTACCGATTTTCCCACAACCAGCACAAATTTTAGAAAATCCTTCATACTCAACAGTTTGATAAAATTTTCCAGTCATTCCTTCCATCCAAATACCTTTTGGGAGCTTTAAATATAAGAGAATGTGAACACATACTTGTGCAAATTCCCTTCTACTCCATTGGAACATATTTCCATCAAGGAGGTAAGGCTTTCCCACCGTAGATGCAATTTTGCAGATGTTTACCTCATCCCAGCACTGAAGAGGCAAATTAGGAAGTCTGATCCACACCGGTGCTGAAATGCCTTTGAGAGAATTAGGATTGAATGAAGATGGCCATTTATCCAATCCCACTACTTGTCCTCTCACCCACCAAGGCCCACCAAAAAAGATGTTGTCCACTGCATAAGAATCTTCAAAAGAGCATAACATCCATCCACGTCCCAATCCTGTTAAGTGGAATTTACCAAAACTTTTCAACTACCTCCTTAAATCCATACCTACCAAATGAAAAGGAATGTCTTCACCGAAAAACTTCACAACTAGAGCTTTCTCTAGCCTCTTAGCATTCTCCAATTCCTTCTCAGCAAGTAATTTAACTCCCTTTCCATCTTCCGTGAGAAATGATCCCAGATCCAAGCTATCAACTTTGATGTTCTATTTTTTATGCCAAACAGAATTATTTTCCACATTATTCCGATTGATTGCTGGTTGAGAAGGATTTTTTAAGACTTCATTAACACCAACCGGAGCTAAAAAAGATGTCTCATCAACAATCCTTTGCTGCAATTCCACATTCACTTTTTCTTCATTTCTGGACTTAAAATTCAATTGAGGGGATGCCACCAAGTCATTCCGACACGGTGAAGAAGGCAGTGAAGCATATTTGAAGCTTTTGATATAAGCAATTTTTGGATCATTTGATGATGAAGCTTCCTAATTGAAATTTCCAATCACTTTTTTGACAGAAACATGCCTATTAAAGGATCTCTCTTTAAAACCTTCGTCATCCTTCAAAATATCTTTACCTTTCCCAATAACCAGAACTAGAGAAACTTTTTTTCCCAATAGACCACCGTCATTAATGACCAGAGGTTTAGCTTTAAGATTTTTGAAATTCTTATTGAAATCATCAAGAGTCTTAGATCCTCCATTGAAAACATCTGATGACTTTTTCACTGGAATAGAAAAACCTTTTCTGTAATTCACCCAAGATTCCGATGAGAGCACCAGATTGTGCTGCATAATCTCCTCCTAAGGACGCCGGATCACCGACAGATCACCGGACCCACCAGCCGCAGAAGTTGAGGGCCGCTGAAGACGAACGGAAAAAATGGAAAAAAATTTGAAATCCCAGACTTTCTCTCACTAGCTTTTTGACTTCAATAAAAGTTCTATTCATTGATTCCATAAGACACTTGAAAATATGAAATGTGCCTTATGGAAACAATGAATATAGCAATTTTTTGCTAAAATCATCACATGTTTGTATACCACCATCTATCTATGTTATGGCTGAAGTACATTTTAAGTTCTTTAATTATTCTTTTATTCCTGGCTTTAAATCACACTAAGTTTTAAATTTATGTATAAGTTATACATAAATCAACTAAACTATGGAGAAATAAAAAAACAATATGGATATATACATTAAAGATTAGACCTACTCTAAGCAATATATGCCTTTCAAATCATCATTGATTTAGATAATTTTTTTAACTACATGTAAGAACCAATCTAGCAAGTTCAAGTGAACCGGCTAGTTAATAAAAATGGGTGGAAATGGTTAAAATGGTGGACTCAAGCAGAGTCGTGGGAGCAATTTTGTCGAAGCTGAAACATTCATTTTAGAGAAAGAATGTGTACGAGCATTGAAAATAGTGACTCCTCACATGAGATAACTTTATTCTTCTCCTTCCTTTGTCATTAAATGAAAGAAATAGCAGAGAGAGAAGAGGCTAGGGTGAAGGGCTTGGCATTTGGAGCGAGAGCAACCACTAAAATGGAAAATGGTGTGTCGTGGTTTAGGGCTTGAGTTTGCAATGGTTAGGAAGAAAGGTAAGGTATTTTATTTTATATTATATTATCTATCTATATATATATATAGATTTAATATTTAGATTTTATGTTTAATCAATATACCTATTAATTTTTTAATTAGCTTAAGATCTTACCTAATGGCTAGTATTTATTTATTAATTTATAATATTATGAATTTCTTAAGAATGAAAATAATTAATATTATTAAGGAAATTTAATCTTAACTTATTATAACAAGACCATTTAATGATAAATATATGATATGTAAAGGGATGGAGAGTTTATATTCAAATCAAACTTTAATGATTTATGAGAGTTAAATAAGAAATAAATATTTTTTATTTGAAAATGCTAATTAATAAAATATTATTTAAAGAGAGCAAATATTTAAATTTAATTAGTAAATTAAAGGAAGAGAGAGAGAGAGAGAGAGAGAGAGAGAGAGAGAGAGTGAGAGAGCACAACATAATTTTTAAAATTTAATAATAAATAAAATCTTAAGTGAAATATTCTATAATTATTGTAAGTATATTTAAAAAGTGAAGAAATATTAAAGTATTAAGTTAGATTGTTAATAAGAAATTCTTTTATATAGGTGATAATCTATTGACCTCAAATAAAAGAGTAAGAGTGAAGAAATAAGATGCTTAGGTTTAGGTGAGTATGCAAGTTTCTATATTATGGTAATTGTATTGCTTCTAATAACATTTAATTGTTATTGAAAATTATTCATTTTTCATATATTAAATGATTACTTTACATTACTGCATAAAGGATAAATTAAAGGAATGTAATATGAATGAAATGATTAAAAATATGTGATTGTGTGTGCATGTTGACTGATGGAGCTCACCCCCTTATGGTACTAGCTCGGGATGCAATATACCCATACATGTAAATGGAAAATATTATAAAAAAGGCAAAGGAAATGGAGAAAAAGTACCTTCATTGGTACTAAATTAGATAGTGGCTTCTTTGATGGTTGAATTATTTATGATAAATAAGAAATATATAATACATATATGATATATTTATATATGACATATAAGATTTATGCCTAACATTGAAAGTTTTAATAAAAATATATGATTATATGTAATTATCTTATGATATTAAAAGGAAAATAGATCATGCATATTGTTCTAATTGACTTGAGATACTGTAGTTTAGATGCATAGTTTTATTCACTAAATTGTGGCTTATTTTAAGTTGTTCTAACATTTTTTAGGTATAATTTAATATTATCAGGATGAATAGAAGAGATAAAAATGTGTATCATAGGCATCGAGCACCTAAAGAAAGGTATTTAAATTATTTTATTTTAATTTGTTTCAAATTTGATGTATTAGTGGCTCTTTATACTTATTAGAATTAGTTAGTTATTAAATCAAAATCTAGTAGACCACCCAACTGTCTGTTCCCGCCTCAGTAATTGATCCCCCACATTGACTCATAACAAAAGTGGTATCATAGCTCAAGAAGTATCTTAAGAATGTAAATCATAATGAAAAAACTATATAAAGGATTTATGAACCTATTTGAAAATAATTTAAATATTCAATTAGATAATATAATTAATTGATATATAAATATATCATGTATATGGATGATGAGGAGGATGTAACTAATAGAAATATGGGAAGAGAAGATATACCACATGAAGT